GGCGACGGCCATGGGGCGCGGTGCGCTTCGGCGGCGGCAGGCGCGGCTGCTCGGGCGGTCGCGCGGCTGTTTGGGGTTGTGTTGAGTGGATGTGACGGGCTGATGGCGCTGCATCATACTGGCCCCAGCGCCGGCCGCGCCATTCTCTGTTTGGCTGCGCCGCAGAGGCGCCTGTACCGCCGTGAAGGCTGGCCCCATGCCGCCGCCGCGCACCGTCATAGGGCGCCGCCCCCAGCACCAGCCGTGCGACCCAGCCCGCCGCAGACAGGCACACGAGCGACAGCGCCCCGCCGTGGCGCGCGTGGAGCGACTCTATGGCCTCGGCCATGCGGTCGGTGTAGAAAGCGAGTGACGAGCCGCGCAGGGTGGGGTACCATTCGCTGCGCCGAATGGGCAGGACCTGATGGGTGGATTCAGTACATAAGAAGTTCAAGGGTTTGAGGGGCATTTTCTCTCCTGGGTGCTTGCGGGGCCCGCCTGGTCAAGCATGTGCAGGGCGCCGGCGGCGTTTGTGCATGCGCGCGTACCAGCGCATCGCTGCGAGGACTCTCGTAGAAACTGCAGGGGCGCGGCCGCGCCGGCGGCGCCGCACGCGCACCTCGACCGCCGGCGCGGCGCCGCCAGACTGGCTGGCGGCGGTCTGCAGGTGCTGCGCCAGGTTGTGGGAGAGCTCGGTGGACTCCTCCCCTGTGTAGTCCCTCAAAAAGCCGGGGCAGATCAAGACTGCACGGCACGGCTCCGCCCGCTGCCCGCTGCTGCCGGCGATCGACGCGGCCGCCATGAGGGCAGACGTCTGGGTCCTGCCGTGGCTGCGCCGCGGCGCGCCTGCTGCCATTGACGCAACATGGCCCGGCGCGACCGCTGGTGCGCCGCTGCTGGCGAGGTGGTGATTGGGCGGCAATCCCCGCACATGCGACACGCGTGGCGGGCAAGCGCGCGCTTCCGAGTGAGAGTGGCTGTTGTGATTTAACATATGCGCACCGTTTGCAACCGGCAGGTGAGCCATGTGGTAGCAGATCGAGAAACGTGTGTTTTGCAGGCGTATGTTGCGGGGTGGGTTTTTCTTGTTGCGTGTAAGTTCAACGAGCAGCAGCGGTCAAAAATTTCAATGCGGTAGTGTCGACTGTCACTCGCAGACCGTCACCGGAAGTTGTTCCGAGGCTTCAATAACCTGAATGGACCAATGGTCTCTTGCAATTGCATAACCTTATCCAATTCTCAGTACCACGTGGACGGAGCCCTCGCATTCGCGCGCCACAAAAACAGGATGCAGCAGCGGCTTGCGCGCACATCGCGCTGCAGCACTCCCCCTGCACCCCGCCGCAGCGCGTTGGGAGCATTGCAGCATTCGCATGGTTGTCAAACAAGAGCAGGACAATTGAGGTGCAGCAGCGCGGCAGATGGTGCTGCTGCGGTCGGAACTGCGGCCACCACCACGACACGCGCAAGCACCAGCAGCAGCACAAGCAGCAGTGTAAGCAGCAGCAGAAGTGGCGGCGGCGGCGAGGCCAGGGCGCCGATGGTGGTTTACTTTACGGCAGAGGATGTGGTCACGGAGGCGATGCCCGGTGACGTCATCATGGAGGTGAGGGGCTGACAGCAGAATAGATGAATTAATTCGAATTTTTAATCGCAGCATGCAGCAGTGTGCAGCAGCTCGCAGCGGGAGAGGGAGCGCCGATGCCCCACACAGCCGCCGCGCAACGGCATGGCAGCTGATGCAACAGGCCGGGCGGCTCCAAGTGGCCTCTGGGACGAGCGGTGCAGCGGATTCTCGGCACAAGCACGCACTGGTGCATGGGGCCAGAGTTCTGCCAGGGCCGGGGTTCTGCGACGCTGATGACCGGCTGACGTGCCGCGCCGCCCCCATCTCCCCCCCCAAACACACACACGCACGCACGCACGCACGCATGCTTGCACACACACACCTGCCCCGGCGGCAGGTCGCCGGGCGCTGCGGCATCACCATCCCTGGCGGCTGCTACAGCGGCAACTGCGGCATATGCGAGGTGCGGGCCCGCCACGACGGCAGCGGCCAAGCATGACTGTGGGCGCTGCTGGCGGTGTTGTCGGTTGATGGGGAGTCTCTCTGGCTGCATGACCTCAATTTTTGCGCACATGATTTGATGTCATGATGCTTTGTACACCAGGAAAGGCGGTTGCAGGACGGCCGCCCTCGCGCCGCGCTTGAGGCCAAACGCCCCTTTGCGTCCACGCGCCTACGCTCACAGGTGGAAGTTCGCAAGTTTGCGGACGGCCAGGACGGCGGCAGCAGCGGAAGCGGAAGCAGCAGCGGCGGCGGCGGCGGCGCGGTGGTGCGGTCGTGCATCGCTCGGCTGCCCCCTGGCTACGCGCGCGTGGAAATCGATGCCCTACAGGACGACCAGATATGGGGGCTGGACGGGTTCGACACGTGACGCCTCATCTGGTTGTAAAAGCCTGTCCCAATGACGCACGCATTTCATAGAGAGCTTTGGCATCAGCTCAGCACGCCACTGCTTGCTGGGGCGTTTAGTGGAGGATTCTGTGGGAGATTTCCTCCGCATGGGACCCGCTCGTTGAGATACGCTTGCCGCACCCTGCCGCAGGCGTTTGTTGCTGTGTCATGTGCCTCACACGCCGGGCAATGCCGACCACGGCTCCGCCACTGGCGCCGCGGCCCGTTTGTCACTCGCCAGCCATGCACTGCACGACACCACAGGACCCCAGTGGTGACACCACTGTTTACAGCACCGTGCACGCGTTGTGGCCCCAAATGTAGTGATTGCAAGAGCAGGGCTTGCTCTCAGGAGTGCTCGTAGCATATGCCTGTGGCGCGCAGCGGGCGCGCCGCCGCCGCACTGTCCGGCCGAAAGAATGCAGGTTGTAACCGCACAGCGCCGCTCGTGTTTCAGAGGGGCTCCGGCGTCGTCGCAGCGGGGAGAGGGTTATGTCACTGGGTCAGAGTTTTTCTCTCATCACGATTCTTGGGGGGTTGGCGACTGCCGAGGAGCCCATGGAATATGGCCGCACCTACGTCGCTCCTCGTTGGGCTGCCAGGCCTTGCTTCACGCGCACTCGCTGCCGCAGCCGGCCGCCCTGTGCAGGGTCGCCGCCCGCCTCGCCCGCGCCACGCTCCTCCGCCCCTTCTTGCAGCACAGCGGCTTCACGCGCCCCGCCGCCCCCGCCGCCGCCGCCTTGCTCGGCGCCCCGGCCTAGCCCTGGGGCCACCTCCTCCCTCTGCTTGCCGCGCCGGCGGCTGCCCGTCCCGACAGCAGCAGCAGCAGCAGCAGCAGCAGCGGCCTCAGCGGGCTGCTCGCCCCACGCGGCCAGCGGCCAGTCCGGCGCCCGCTCAATCCCCGCCGCCGGCCGCCACCACTCCAGCGCCACCCACCACCAGTGCAGCAGCACGAGCGCACAGCACCAGATTGGGCCCGCCCAGGGGCCCGCGCGCGCGCAGCGCCTGAGGCGCGGCAGCAGGCCGTCGGCCCAGGGCGTCATCATGACGTCATCGTACACCCTGAGGGTCCTGGCGGCCACGTCAGTCCAGCTGTACATATCGCGAACCTGTGTGCACAGGGGCATGATGACATGAGCACGGTGATTTCAGGAGGCAATTCAGCAGCAGCATGCTGGCGAAAGTGCCCAAGGGCAGGATATAACTGACCCTATTGGGTGTGTTGAATTCTGGGATCTTTGGGCAGCGCGGGTGGCTGTGGCTCACTCACATCAAGGCTGAGGCGGGTCCCTGAAGGCCAACAGAGACGTGGGCAGCAACCGCCCCACTCCCTGCCCGCCGCGCGGCGAAAGCAAGCGGGCACACATACAAACTCCCGTTCTGAGCCGCCCGTGCCGGGCCCCAGCCCCAAACCCCTGCCCCACCCCGTGCCTACCCTCTCGTGCTGCGCGCGCGGGTCGCGGCCGCGGGCTACGCGGCGCAGCGCCTCCTCGAGCGACGCCAGCAGGCCCTCGGCGCTGGGCTCACACAGCAGCAGCATGTCTGGGGGCAGCACCTGGCCGGGTGGAGGGGATGAGGCAGGGTAACATGTCACCAAGTGGCGGG